TTTATATAGCAGCTTAAGTGTTCTTTGACATATAGTGCCACCCCACCTCCTTTCCCTTTACTTCTATCAACATGGAATAACTTCAAAGCCTGAATGTGACATCCAGCAGGTATGTCCCTATTCTTCATATTAAACCACGTCTCAGTTATGGCAAATAAGTCAGTGTTACCTGCACTTGCAGCCAATTTCAACTCATTCATCTTGTTTCTAGTGCTACGACTATTCGTATATGTTATTAAAAACCCTCTCTTCTCTTTTCCCCCACAACTCATTCCTATCTCTATTACTATCCTTATCACCTAGTGCCACTGGCTCTCCAGTATTCACCAACAACTCTACCTCATTCTGACTATAATTGGTTTCCCTAAATCTCGCAATATCGCTAAAGCGAGAATTCATCCTGCCCAGTTTTATTATAAAATATTTCATTGATTTCCCAAAAAAACCCATACCCCTATTTCTAGTTCCCTCCACTGAACTAGCAAGTGCCCCCACACCTACTCTAGATAATTGAACCCCCATCCCTGACATACATGCCATTTTTGCCATAGAAGCAGTCCCAGTTGTCTATACAGGGTACTGCAGTCTCCTTAAACTGTTTGTCCAGCCAACGATTAACACCAATTTCCCTGGATAGCCATTCATTCCCAACTTCTCTCCTTGGCAAAATGCCACATATTACAGGCCACCCTCCCTTCTTCCTAATTATGTCTGTCACCGACCTATACCTTCCTAATCTGGTCCTCACTCTTACATTTGCCAACATCGTTGCCTCCAACACCGAGGCAAATAATTGGATTGCTCTCATTACTGTTCATGATGTCCAAACCGCTAACAATATCCTCTATCCCAGCACAAGGAAAACACACCCTTTACCTCCTCTTCCTACCTCTAAGACAAAAAGCCCTATCCATAAACTTAACCTTATTGTCTCCAACTATTACAATGTTCTTACGTTCATTGGGTGTGTTGGACATGATGGTCTCGACACTTTTTGTAGAGATGGTCCTTGATGGGATGTCTTCCCTGATGGAATTTGCACTAGTCCTCATTGGAATGTCCTTCATTTGAAAATCCTCCATCTTTTATTTACATACATTTGGTAACAAAAAAAATAGTTGCTCGACTACACAGCAGTATGCTGGACCTTCTTCAGCTTCAGCTTCGTCCCTTCAGTTTCATCTGGCATCCAGTCGTTGGTCCAAACATCGATAATGTTGTTCTAGGGATAATCCTTGCACTTACTCTTTAGTCATTGAATTTTTCTTCAAGCTCCCATTAATTCTGCTTTAAGCTGAAGATATAGCTGCCCATAGACAGTGGAAGTCATCACGATCTCAGGTAGCTAAGACCGGAGAACACACTAGGTACCAGAACTGCACAGTATAATCTAAATTAGGCCTTACCATGGCCATATATATATTGAAGTGTAATTTGAAGACTCCTACTATTTCTACATCTTGATATGACGCTAAGAATTTTGTTATCTTTATTGCAAACACTTACGCACTGTTATCTTGGCTTTAGATTACTGCTAACCAGAATTCCTATTTCTTTATTTTTGTGTTCAGATTGACTGTGATCTACATTATTCAGTTTATAAGTGCCATGGTTATTCCCTTTTCTAGGCCTAAGAAATTACATTTGTTTACATTAAACTGTATCTGGCACTACTCTGACCACTACATCAAACTACAGTGTCCTGAACAGAATTAATCCGATGGCTTATTTTTGTGTCATCAGCAAATCTGTTTATGTCACCATTTATTCCCTCATCTAGCGCTGCATGTCGGCTTAGCGCTTTCTTTGATAACAAGAATACGAATAAGAATAATATTCCCTCATCTATGTCGTTAACGAAAATTGTAAACAACAAAGGGCCCAACACTGACCAATGCAGAACACCGCTTATTATGCGTCCCCACTCTGATTACTCCCCACTTTGGTAAACTCTGTTGCCTGCTATCAACCATGCCTTGATCCAGGGAAAAAATTCTCTTCTATTCCGTGTGACTATTTTCCTCAACAGTCGCCTTTGTGGATCTCCATTAAAGGCCTAACTGCAGTCTATATAAACAATATCATATTCATTACTATGATCTACCACCTCTAATATCTTAATGAAAAAAATTGTAAATTCGTAAGTCAGGAACACCCTTTTGTAAAACCCCGCTGAGATTCATTAATAGTTAATGACCTTCAAGATGGTTTCGAATAACTTCAGCAATTACTGACTCCATCAATTTTCCCCACAGTGGAGGTTATTCTAATTAGTCTATAATTTGAAGCTAACGAAGTATTTCCTGCTTTGAAGATAAGTATCATATTTGCCATTTTTCACTTATCCAGTACTATACCAGTTTGTAATTCTATGTTGAAAAGACTAGCTAATGGTTTGGTCATGTCAAAAAATACTTCCACAAATTTCAGTGTTATATTCACCTGTATTCGACTGAAGAAGCTTGTTGTGGAGGGAACCTGTCTGCAGTAATGACACCCAAGTTTTGAAAAAGTCTAACTCATATACTTACTGAATATCATCAATATGATAAGAGGAGATTAATCATATGGTTTACAAGAGGAGCTACAATGGTATGTCTGATAGCAACAAATACTGGAGGAGGTAGCAAGTGCAACAAATACTGGAGGAGCTAGCAAGTACAACAAACACTGGAGGAGGGAATAAGTGTTTCACCTGCTGAAAGAGGTAGTAAGTACTACAGTCACTACAAGAGGTAGTAAGTGTCAGTCGCTAGTGTAGGTAGTATGTGCCACAACCACTGGAAAAGATTCTTCTCCCGGTTTCTATTTTTTGGGGGGGGCTTGGCAACGAATTCTGATACGAAAACAATCCATATGATTTCGTTCAAGAATCTATTCAGTGACTTCCCATGCTCAAATATCTCCTCTCTCTCTCTCTCTCTCTCTCTCTCTCTCTCTCTCTCTCTCTCTCTCTCTCTCTCTCTCTCTCTCTCTCTCTCTCTCTCTCTTTCTTTCTTTATCAGTCCTTATATCAATTTTAACCATACTAGAGCGATATATATTTAGGAATGGCCTCTGAAACACAAAATGAACCCAAATCCTATTTTCATAATATGCAGAAATAGTTTTGTTATCGTGTCGTCTAGATTCCCAAGACGTCTAGGAGAGTAACCGTCAATAAATTTGTGGATCCAGCTTTCTCAAAAGCATTTTCTGAGCTCTGGTCAAAATTCCTTCTTATGAAACAATAGAATTAGGTCAATCATTTCAGAATTATGACATGAACGGTGAGCAACACACCTACATAACCATGGGTTTTTGAGGCCCCTAAAGACATTTTTTTGAGCCCCCTCGCTGTCCTCAAAGGATTCATGGACAACGAGGAGCAAGCCCGGTAAGTGCGGCCATCTGTCGCCAACACTTAAAAGCAGCAGATGTAATCATTAAGTTCAGATTCCAGCTAATGCCATCACGCACTATGTTCTTCATGGTGCTAAATGATATTAAAGGAATAATATAATATCTATAGATATATACAAAACATACCAGGAAATCATTGTGAAATGAGTGAAAAACACCAGCGTTACCCCGACAAGAATTATCTGGCTTAATTTTGAGTGTGACAGTGTATTTTTATTTTTATTTTAAGACTGTGAACAATATAACTTAGAAGCAACAGAGGACACTAACCCTCTAAGACTCAGAATTATGACTATAAGGCGGCTTATTGAAGGGAGATAACAATAAGGAGTATTCAGCTAATTATGACTGGAAGGAGACATAAAGAAACGCTATGTGTTTATAGCATTTAAATATTGTTTATTCTAAAAAAATCATTGTCAGTATATGATACAAAAGAATTCGCAACAATAGCAATTATATACTATGATTTTTATTGGAAAAAAATATTTGCTTTATTTTTGTATACATTTATTCATTATTAAAGCGCACTTTAAACATTTGATATATTTTTTTTCAAAATGAAGTATATGAGTATTTTCCGTTATGATTTTTATCTCCCCAAAAATATTTTGTTTTGTTTCACCATTGTAGAAAATTACCATGACAACGTTTAAAACCATTATGCATTTATCAGAATCTATTTCTGTCATTTGATACATATGCTTTTGTCATTATAAAAATTGTACAAATATTTTCATATGAAAATTATTAGGCTATTATACATTCTAAAAATTCAGTTATCATGCTTTATTATATATATGAAATGATGTGTAATAATGCATTTATTTTATTAGTTAAGTAAAAGGCCACAAATGCAATTAATGTGACATTTTATTGTGGCAACGTTTCGCTCTCCAGAAGAGCGAAACGTTGCCACAATACAATGTCACATTAGTTGCACTTGTGTCCTTTTACTTTATATATTGTCAGTAATTCTCCCAACATTAATACACTATTTTATTAGTATTTGTAAATGTGACTAAATGGTTTACTTTTAGTAATATTTTAGATCGAGTATCAACTGTCACTGTGATATGTTGAAACAAATTTTAAGAATTTGGTGTTCATTACCAATACAATATTTATGAGAAATAATTGCGAAAAGGGAAAGCTTATTGTCCCTTTTTATTACAAAATAATATTACACTTGAGGATTTACGTTTTTTCTTTAAGAAATTAATTTTAGATCATTTGGGCGAGGTATGATGCGGTGAATGGGTTACCATTCTTCAGAGAGTCCAGCAGAACACTTTCGGGGAATTTTTGAAGCAACTAAAACAGTAAAATAATGATAAAAAATGAACTGAAGAAAAGAATTTATGCATACTATATGACATGAGTACTGTATTTCCTTGAAGAATGAAGGTCAGTACAGTAATTATTAAGTTTTTATTATACAACATGCTACTGCAGTACCTAGTTATGTGTTTACATCATAAATTTAGTGTAACATAAACTTAAGAAAAGCTTGTATACATAAAAATGCACACTGTTCAACACATTTATTATAAGACCTTTTCAGTGACTATCCATTAATTTTTTGGTTATCATTGCAGAGTGGAAGTACTGTTGCCACCCTTCTTGCCTGCAACTATCCTTTTGGCAATAGGTTTGTTGCTGGTGATGGCCGAAGAGTTTCCAGTCTTACCAGTAAGCCTTCGTCGGCTCTCCACTCGCTTAGCACGAGCAACTTTTGGCAGGAAAGCCTTCATCTGTGCTCTCATGGCTATCATATCTCTGCCATCTATGCTTACTCTGGTAGGTGAACCATAAATTAAGTGTTGTGTAGAAGTTATACTATTATACGATGGTATATTTTTGCCCCAGATTTGTTTTATAGTAATATATCATTAAATTAACTTAATTTTCGTGCATTTTTACCATCTTGTCACATTAGATGGAGCAGACCATGATATTAGCATAGAGAAACACATATGAGGATATTAGTGTGTATGGAAACAGGTATAATGACATTTTGAAGATACTGAAGGAAAAACAGAATATTTAAATATGTTTGACACATTATTGTCATTGAAAATAGAGTTTTGGTCAAAGTTTTTGCTGTTCTTTTTTTTATTTACAACTCTGTAGAGTGGAGCAAGGGAACCATGTTAGGTACCTCTATAAATTAGGTTTGGTGGATCTTATCAAGAATACCCCCCCTTCCCTGTCACATCACAATCCTGTGATTCTCAGTGATAATGAGAATCTTCTTCAACACTGTTTAACCTTTAAACAACAAATTTCAACAAATTCTTAAAAAAAATAGTTCATAGGTGCGTTATGAACACATTAATTTGCTGCAAAATGACATACTGCATCTATTCGTGTATAGGCAGTATCCAAACTATTTTCATATTACATTAATTTTTCATATTTCTTGAGTGCAAGTAGAAATTCAATTTTATATAGCAATAAAAAATTAGAATTAATACAGTGAATATTATTCAGGGTTGCTAGTGGCAGCCTAGTGATCTTGTATGGAAGTGGAAGAACATTAAATTAAATATAAGGACGATTACACATAGGTAGCATTAACCCGTAGTGATATTATTATAATAATAGAGACATTTGGTATCAAACATTAGCTTACCTGTGTAAAGACTCAATGATCGTACTCGACAGTGATCGTACTCGACAGTGATTGTACTCAACAGTGATCGTACTCGACAGTGATTGTACTCGACAGTGATCGTGCTCGACAGTGATCGTACTTGACAGTGATCGTACTCGACAGTGATCGTACTCGACAGTGATTGTACTCAACAGTGATCGTACTCGACAGTGATTGTACTCGACAGTGATCGTGCTCGACAGTGATCGTACTCGACAGTGATTGTACTCGACAGTGATCGTACTCGACAGTGATTGTACTCGACAGTGATTGTACTCAACAGTGATCGTACTCGACAGTGATTGTACTCGACAGTGATCGTACTCGAAAGTGATCGTACTTGACAGTGATCGTACTCGACAGTGATCGTACTCGACAGTGATCGTACTCGACAGTGATCGTACTCGACAGTGATTGTACTCGACAGTGATTGTACTCAACAGTGATCGTACTCGACAGTGATTGTACTCGACAGTGATCGTGCTCGACAGTGATCGTACTTGACAGTGATCGTACTCGACAGTGATTGTACTCAACAGTGATCGTACTCGACAGTGATTGTACTCGACAGTGATTGTACTCGACAATGACAACTACTGAGACACTGAACTTTATTTCAAAATCTCTGACTTCATTATGTGGGATATTGCTGATCTTAATAAAATTGTTGATTAGGTTCTTTGTATTTAAAATTGAATATAGATTTGTTTCTGTGCAAGGCTTCTGTTTAATGTTACTAAAAATTTAATTATGCACTCGCCAATGTTAAAAAGGAATGCAGTATTATTCCCCCCAAAAATCATTTGTTCCGTTGTTTCCATTCCTTCTTGCAACTAGCTATGGTGCAGTTGCTCTGCAATCCGAGATTGATAACCTTGGTCTCACATAACCCCAGCTCACTCTTCCTCATACAGGAAGCGTAGTAACAGTAACTCTAAACGCTGAAAAGGCCGAGGAGCTGTAGCTGAGTCCCTCGAGAGAATTAGAATTTATAAACAAACTCTCAACAGAGGTTAAACAGAGATAAAAACCTTAAGAAATGCTCAGGAATTTTAATTCAGCAACTTTCAGCAAGCCCAACAACTGTCACTTAACATCTTTAGTAGGTCTACCTAGGAGCTGCAGATAAGCACAATTAAAAGGCTCAGGAGCTAGAACTCAACCATGACTAACTCTGAAAACGTGACACAGTTAGCTTTTCTAAGCATAGTTGGGGTAGTCTGTTTTCCTTATTAATATTAGTAATATGGCACCTAGAGGTACCGTATTACTAATATGGCACCTCTAGGTGCCATATTAGTAAGAGACATTAACATGTTATCGCATGGATACCAATATTCCATTGTATTTAGTGAAACTGATAAATTGACATTGAAATAGCTCAATTAAAACAGCTTATAAACTGATAACTGGATAACATGAGATGCCTTTTAATTTAAAATTAAAATTTTCAATTCAGCTGTATCTTCTGATTTATATTGGGCTTCGTTGGTGCCAATTTATTAAAAAAAAACTATGATTTTTATGCTCTCGCTTCTAAACCACTAAGGAACATATTTATCAAAATGAAAGTTTTAACATTATGGAGGCACTATAAGTCATTAGCGTGTCACTGTTTGTTCATTTCCCGTTAACTGTTCACTAAATAGCATTTATTACATTACATCACAAAAGAATATCAGCCTAATTCAGATATTTAATTAAATTTATTTTTAAATGATTGCTCAAATACATTGCCCACCATAGAAGAATAATTGCTGAGAGCTTCATAAATATCAGTCTATTGCTTTTATGGTATGGCACCAAGACTCGCATTGAAAACAAAAAAAAATCACGTTGTTTGACTAGGTTGAGTTCTAGCTCCTGAAATTTTTTGATGGATATTATCTGCTCTTCAAACCATGGAACGGGTGGAGTCTGAACCCATGGCGAGTGTGTCGTGAAACTGGTCTAGTAGCGTATGCACTGGCCTGGAGTTTGTCGATTCACCATGGGTTCAAACTCCACACGTTCCTTAGTTTGTTTGCAATCGTTTAATTACTGTTTCGTGAGTCATGACTGATGTTCTTCCTGCTTGCACTCAGATACAGGACGCTGGAGGTAAGCTCAGAATGCGAGAGGTATCTCTCTCAAATCAGTCACTGACTGAAACGCATTTAATTTCTAGAAGCATATTAAGTGTTATTTACTAACTCATCTTGATGAACAACTATTTTTGGATTATTTAAAGTGTTACTAGTAACATTAAACAAAATTCTTAAACGATTCTTGTAGTGCAATTTTAAATATGTAAAATGACTGGAGTGACGTATCAGAGCTCTTCTCTACGTCATTACTGTTCACCCTTTTTTTCTAGGAGAGAGAGAGAGAGAGATAACGAAAGAGAGAGAGAGCGAGAATGAAAGAGCAAGAGAGAGCGAACTAGAGAGAGAACAGCAGTTTCACATTTTTATATTTGCCATTTTGATTTTCTGTATAAATGAATATATATAATATGCAGTGTAGAGCAAAAGTAATTTATATCAAAGAATAATAATGATTAAAGAAGATATATCATTATAAAAGTTAAAGAAATTCCGTGGCTTGGCTGCTGTTGTAATTTCTCTGTTATCAGCTTAAATTGAAGCATAAAGTGGGTTTCCAGTGTACTCCGCATCAGCGACTCCACAGTCAAAATTGTATTCTATTTATACGATTTGATTAAAACCAACGCTGAAGCCTTGCTCACACGTACATGATGGCATCTGCACGAACATGGCTACTGCTTGCTTGACGAAGAACTTATATTCTAGAATATCCAACAGGATAACCCAGAAATCCATGCATGGCTTGTGCAGTTGTTTTGAAGGCTGATATTTCAGCACAATCTGTTCGAAGCTCCAACAAAGCATCAGAAGAGTCAACAATCCCTCCCATCATCATCAAATGGGTTATGGATTCACGTTGAAGTTTTTATATCAAAGTATGGTGACTGAATATATCAAGTGGGACATTCGCATCTCCAATTACTTATCTTCCATTGCCTGTACTCCATGTTCCCGGCCACATTCTCTCATAAAGTTATCAAATGTTGTAAAATTAGCGTAGAATTTTTATACGTTGTCTGTCCACTTATGCATCTACAATTTAAATTCATTTATTTTTTCCGATTGCCATGAAAATCTCCTTACTCCTTTGGACGCTCATGTTGAGTGTAGTAGTTATTTGATCGAAAACTGACACCATGTAAGAGAAGTTTTTATACCATGAAGATGTCCTAGATTTTTCTTTGTGTATGGAGAAGGCACAGAACCTTTGTGTGAGTGCTAACGGTCAGCTCAGAGGCTTCTCACGGAAGAGCCCTCACACTTCGGTATGAAAGAGAGTTTTGGTGAAGTTTTCTTTTTTCGCCTGAACCCAAATTCATTTCACCATTTTAACATCATGTAGCTCTAAATAACTTATCTGAGTGGTTGTTCCTGTTCTCACTCAGTCGCTTAGCAACAAGGGCTTCTCGAATAACACATGAATTGCGACACAAAATGGTTATAAACCTTGTTTTTTTTTTCTTCACATGTTGATTGCTCCATCAATTGCCCTTGCACTATCTGATCTACAATAACTGATTTAAAAACATAAGAACATAAGAAAGGAGGAACACTGCAGGAGGCCTGTTGGCCCATACTAGGCAGGTCCTTTACAATTCATCCCACTAACAAAACATTTGCCCAACCCAATTTTCAATGCCACCCAAGAAATAAGCTCTGGTGTGAAAGTCCCACTCAAATCCAACCCCTCCCACTCATGTACTTATCCAACCTAAATTTGAAACTACCCAAAGTCCCAGCCTCAATAACCCAACTAGGTAGACTGTTCCACTCATCAACTACCCTATTTCCAAACCAATACTTTCCTATGTCCTTTCTAAATCTAAACTTACCTAATTTAAATCCATTACTGCGGTAATAAAGACATTTCATTGCTCTCTTCAATCGCAAGTTTATTTCGTTTCTGGAAAATATTCTTTGATGTTGCTGATACCTCGAGTAGGAGGCAACGCAAATAGTTTTTAACTATGTTTTTAGACGGTAAATCCAGAGAGCGACAGTAGACAATGAATATTGTTTCCTTCCACATCTGTTGTTTTGTCCAGCTCAATGCCTAA